TCAGTTTCTTAGCCACAAAACCTGAGTATTAGCACTGCCCTTAGAAAAACTCTACTCTTTGCTTGTGCTCATCTCTTAGGTTTTAGCTCACAGCATTTGCTTTTCTTTTTAGGGGAGAACAGAGGGGTAGGAAGTGGCCTTTGATTTTTGTTATTTCTTATAGCAGAACACAACCACAAAATAAAGATTTTTTAGGTCTACTTTCTACTTTTTGTTTTGTAGCAAGTGAATCTTCTACGGTACCTAATCTGCTACACTGTCATGGGTGGAAGTCTCTATTTTATTTTTTTATTTAATTACTTATTTACTTATTTGTTTGTTTGTTTATGGCTAGTATGGGGATCCAAACCCTTGACCTTGGTATTATCAGCATTGCAGTCTAACAAAGTGAGCTAAACGGCCAGCCCTCTTTTTATTTTTTAAATCCTTTCTAAAAAATTTTATTTTCAAGTAAGCATAGGTATTGTATACAAAATTCAAAAAAGAACAGAAAGTTATTNCATTGTTATGTATTTTCAGTATATAAGAATTTCACCTCCTTGGTAAAATGTATTCCTACGTATTTTATTTTTGTTGATGCAGTTGTAAATGGATTGTTTTCTTAATTTCATTTTTGGATCGTTTGGATTTTTGTGTGTTGATCTTGTATCCTACAATTTTATCACATTTGTTTATTAGCTGTAATAGTTTTATGTGCATGTGGATTCTTTAGGATTTTCCATATATAAGACCATGTCATCTGTGAATAGAGGAGGTTGTTGGTACACAGTTATTCATAGTATCCTCTCATAATCTTTTTAACTTGTATAAGTTTTAGTGGTAACATCCCCACATTTATTTCTGATTTTAGTTATTTGTCATCTCTTTGTTAATCTAGCTAAAAGTTTTTCAGTTTTGCTGATCTTTTCAGGGAACCACCTTTAGTTTCATTTATTCTCTTCATTTTTCTATTCCTGATTTTTTAAATCTCCCCTCTAATCTTTATTATTTCCTTTCTTCTTCTAGATTTTGATTTAGTTTATTCTTTTTCTATTCCTAAAGGTATATTAGGTTGTTGATTTAGGTTTTTTTCATTTTTCCTTTTTTTCTTTTTTTAATGTAGAGATTTGTTTTATTTCTACTGGGGAAAGGATGAGATAAATAGAGCTGTTTTCCAATTTATGTTCCACTGTGTACATACATGCCCACACACACATATACACATATGTACACCAAAAATACCCTAACAACAATAAAAATCCCAAGAATTAAAAACCAAAACACCCTTAAACAGCACCAATAATTTCAAATGTTGACCAAAGGATAGATCCTGGAGAGAAGTACAAAATGCAAAAATCAAATGACTGAAAAATTCTGAACAAACAGTACTAATATGAAATTATTTATATTATTGAACTAGTAATAGATTATAAAAAATATTTGGGCCGGCCAGGTGACGCACTGGATAGTGCGCCGCTTGGGAAGCGCAGCGGCGCTCCCGTCCGAGGGTTCGGATCCAAATCCCAAGAATTAAAAACCAAAACACCCTTAAACAGCACCAATAATTTCAAATGTTGACCAAAGGATAGATCCTGGAGAGAAGTACAAAATGCAAAAATCAAATGACTGAAAAATTCTGAACAAACAGTACTAATATGAAATTATTTATATTATTGAACTAGTAATAGATTATGTTATTTGTGTCTATAAAACTTTGGAACCACATAGCTGATTTGTTGAATCTAGCCCATGCCAGCTTCCAAAAACCAGGAAAGATTTTAGGTAGCTTCATTCTATGATGCCTCATCAAAATTTTCTACAAGATCTGGAATAACATCATCATCAATATCTTATGATTTGGGTACTTTGCTATCCAAGAACTGTTTGGCTAACTTCCTAAGGCTTGTTAAGCTGCTGCAGCAAGCTGATTTAATGTTCCAGGAAGCATTTTTGTGTTTGGTTTGGCTTCTGTGTGACTGGTAATTGCAAAGGTGGTAGCAGAGAGGAATGCTTAGACTTTGGGTTATTGAAATGAATAACTGTCTTACTTTTAATCATATTCACCTCTTCAGTGCCAGCTATATTATTCACAACCAGGTTTTTTTAGAGAACTCGAGCTTTTTGTCATCAGCTGTAGCTGTCCTGTGTACCACCTTCTTTCTGCAAGCTATGCCCTTGCTCCCTATCTGGACCTTAGCCTGAAGTTTGGCTAACTTTTCTTGATTTCATGCTGTTGTTAAATCTAAAGTGGTGAGGGCCCTACAACACCAACAGGTGGCAAGAGCAAGATCCTTTTTTAATATAGGCATTTGTTGCTCTGAATTTACTTCTGCACACTGCTTTTGCTGAATCGCATAAGTTTTGATATATTTATCTATCATCAACCCCTCTAGAGTTACATGTATTTTATTTAGTTCTCTAGTATTTTATTGCTGTCCTTAAAACACACATACACAAAATCATAATATCATTATCATTATTTTATACAATGTTTATTTAAATTCTTTATAGCGTTATTAATTTATTGCTTACCATTTTTTTCTAGCATCTCAGGACTTTCTGATTTTTTTTTTTTTCTGAAGCATATTCTTTAGAAATTTCTTTCATGTAGGATATGTTGATTGTAAACTCTCAGGTCTTTTTAAATCTTAAAATGTCTTTCTTTCACTCTCTTTTGTGAAAAAATAGTTTTGATCATATACAATTGTTTTGTTTGGGAGGTTTTTTTGTTGATTTGGTTGGTTGGTTTTTGTTGGGGTTTTTTTTGGTAGCTGGCTGGCATGGGGATCCAAACCTTTGACCTTGGTGTTATAACATACAATTGTTTACTGATAGTTTTATTTTTAGCCTTAAAGATATCATTCCTGTGACTTCTACTGCCATTGTTGCTATTAAGACATCTGCTGAAAACTAATTTCAGTACTCTGTGGGTGGTCTGTTTTATCTCTCTATCTTCATTTTATTTTCCTTGTTTTTCTTTAGAATTCTGTACTTTCACTACATTGGGTATGAGGGTTTTTTTTTTTTTTTTCTTGGTATATTTAAAGGTAAGCCTTCCTTTATCTGTGGATTCATGTCTTTAGTTTTGAAAAATTGTCAGCTCTTATCTCTTCAAATATTGTCTGTCCTCCATTTTTTTTCTATCCTTCTGAGACTTCAATTACATGTATACTGTATTTTCTAATTCTTTTTTTTCTATCTTCAAGTCAAGTCTCTTGACTATTTTTAATCTTCTGTTTTTCCTGTGATGTATTCTGTGTAATTTTAAAATCTGTATTCCAATTTAGTAATTCTTTCTTCTGTGTCTAGTCTTCTATTTAAGTTTTCCAATAACTTTTGAATTTCATCAATTTTTCATTTCTGAAACTTCTGTTTGGCTCTTTTTCAAATTAAACTTTTGATAGTTTTCTTTCTTTTTTTTTTTTTTTGCTTGCTTGCTTTTTCCTGTGATTGTTCTTTTATTTTTTTAGACCTTAAATAATTACTTTATATTCAGTACTGATTATCCTAATATTGGAAGTCTTATGAGGTGTCTAAATCTGCTGATTCTCTCTCATGGTGGCTTATTTTCTTATGTGTTTGGTACTCTTTGGTTGTGAGCTTCTATTTGATTGATCTTACTGTGGAAGGAAACTGGAGCCTTGACTGGGCTTGTCTTCCTCCAAATAGTCATCACATTTTTTCTTACCAGAAGCCAGGCTACACTTTTCAGCCAGGACCTTTCAGGTTTCTAGTCTTAACTTGAGAATGTTGTATTCTCCTCCTCTGTCAGCTGCTTGTCCAAGCCTCAGTTTCTTAGCCACAAAACCTGAGTATTAGCACTGCCCTTAGAAAAACTCTACTCTTTGCTTGTGCTCATCTCTTAGGTTTTAGCTCACAGCATTTGCTTTTCTTTTTAGGGGAGAACAGAGGGGTAGGAAGTGGCCTTTGATTTTTGTTATTTCTTATAGCAGAACACAACCACAAAATAAAGATTTTTTAGGTCTACTTTCTACTTTTTGTTTTGTAGCAAGTGAATCTTCTACGGTACCTAATCTGCTACACTGTCATGGGTGGAAGTCTCTATTTTATTTTTTTATTTAATTACTTATTTACTTATTTGTTTGTTTGTTTATGGCTAGTATGGGGATCCAAACCCTTGACCTTGGTATTATCAGCATTGCAGTCTAACAAAGTGAGCTAAACGGCCAGCCCTCTTTTTATTTTTTAAATCCTTTCTAAAAAATTTTATTTTCAAGTAAGCATAGGTATTGTATACAAAATTCAAAAAAGAACAGAAAGTTATTTAAAAAAAATTGTTCTTAATTCTATAGCCCCAGGGGTAACTGCAAGGTTTTTGGAATTTTCATAATAAGTTAGATTAGGATAAAAGTAAAAATTTAAAATCTTAAAGGAGAAGCATTTTCAAGATATTTTGTAGTCATATATTAAAATAGAACTGATGTCATAGCCTTATAAAATCATCCCAATTGAGAACACTGTACTAGGCCTAAATGGGTCTAAGTTTTTAGTATACATATTTCTTCATGTTCAAAGCTCGTCAAGCTAATATTAAGTGGTGGGATTGTATACTAATGGTAATCATTATGTACACATAATCCCCATGTACACCAAGACACCTTTTCTAAAATTACATAATGCTACAATGGGGCACACTCTACTCATAAAGTTAAAAACCTTTATTTGCATTAAATCTAAAATGAGTATTTTAGAAGTATTTGAAAGTGTATAACAGTGCTTTGTCACATAAAAGCAATTGTAATAAGCCAGTACAGAAATGTGATTAATGATAGGATGAGGAGATTACATCATACTAGTCTTTGCTCTGCCTTGAATGTATTCTGGTGCTTTGGCAACTCATTTAACAAAAAATATTAACTTTCTTATCTGTAGAATGGAAATGATTTTACCTAAATTGTATAGAGTATCACAGTAGGGAAAAAGAGAGATATGTTTTAGATAAAATATTCCATAAAAAAATCTTAAGCACTTTAGATGATCATATATTTAAACTCTTTCAGCTATTAAATAATAGAAGAAAATGGAATTGAATATGGTGTCAGCATGGAACAGCCCAATGATTCATTAAGAGTCGACCATAATGATGGTGAAGAGTCAAAAACAGATGCCCAGGCATTTGAGGTAGGGATTCTGCTGGGAACTTTTCTCCATTCTAGGAAAAACAGTGTGCCATTTAGCAACTTTTTTGCTTAAGGAGTAGCTGTTATGTTTAATGTATTCTAGAATTTTAACATTTAATTATCTACATATTCTATCGTATATTTAATTTTTTTTTTTTTAGTGACTGTCCCCTATAGGGATCTGAACCTTTGATCTTGGTGTTATCAGCACCATGCTCTCCCACATGTGCTAATTGTGCAGCCCTGTATATTTAAATTTATAATATAGAGCTTTAGTTAAAGTAATGCTTAGACATATTCATAAAAATTTACATATAAATATATATTTCTATGTATATAAATTTTTGTGTCAAATTATATACATCTTTCCAGGTTGCATTCTCATGGCTAATTTTACTTTATTAAAATTGAGATAATAAGGGCCGGCCCGGTGGCGCACTGCTACAGTGCGCCGCTTGGGAGCGTGGCGGCGCCCCCGCCGAGGGTTCGGATCCCACATACAGACCGGTTCCCGCTCACTGGCTGAGCGAGGTGTGGGCGCGACCCCCAGGGG